AAAAATCTCAGCCCAACACCCCTGCAAAAAATTAGCTGCCCAGAAGAGAGCCCAGCTATAACCAATATATATATATACTAGAAAAAAGATAATGGCAAACCCAGAAACTCTCCCCCCAGCCCTCCATCCCACATGGGGTATAATTTGTATTTTATACACACATTTTGTATTGACTATTAAATAACCATTACATAGGCATATTATTTCCTCTTCCAAGGCTCCAGGTAATCCAGTGACATGCCCCTCACACCATTCTCATTGTGCTGCTGGCCGTAGCGCTCTGAAAAGCGGCAATGAAAGTAAGCAGTGGCCAGCTACCACTGTGCAAGTGCCAGTCTGCAGATCCAGTCTAACAAAGAACTCTTCTGAGCTCTGCAGCAGCTGATCCTTATTTCAGTGTTTCCTGAACCTGTACTCAAAAGGACTAGAAACTTTTCTCAAAGTGAGCTGAAGACTCAGTGGAAATCCAAGACTGCTAGCCACGCATCTCACAAAGTTTCCTACTGGCTAGCAGCCCAAAAGAAAGCAATATTCCCCTATGGAATGCAAAATTGCACTCTAAATCAAGAGATGTTAAGAAGAGGTTCAATAATTAAGTCTGAACTTCATTTCATTTCTGTCAGCTCTTAAAACCAGTTCCTTCATTACTCCATTCCTGTCCTCCTAACAGGAGGGAGGATCAGCTTTGTGGCTCCTCAGACTTTCCAGCCTTCCCTTCCCAGCCAGAGCAAGTAAGGGCTATTCAAGTTTTTGCCTTGCTCCTCCTGGCTCCCCATGGGTGCTGGAATGTAAAGAATAGCTCTAGCACAATGTACTCCAGCTTTGCTGCTACTGCCAAGGCTGGAAGCAGAGGGAGTGCAGAACAATTACATGCAAAGTCTGGGTATTCTCCAGGGGAAGCTTAACATTTGCTCATTCTGTTGCAGCGCTTCCTCTTGAGATATCAAGACTTTTGCCTTCAAGACCAGAGAATGACCAACTTTGAAAGCTGAAGAGACACCCCACTCAAACAAAATGAAAGGAGGTGGCGATATTTGAAGATGACAGGTACAGAACACAGCAAGAAGCAGTACCACAAAGTATTTTGCGACATTCTGCACCTCCATTTGCTCAATGCACGTTTCAAAAGGCAGCAATACTACACACAAGCCACATGTTCACTATTTTTGTTTCATAGCACACCTGAGCTAATACTGCCCATCACTTTTCAGCTTTTCAACCTTTCTGCACAAACAGTAGCTACAGATATCAGCGATTACTGCACTGAACCACAAATTTTCACGCACCGCAGAAAGGTGACTTGTAAAGGAAACAACAGCCTGCACCTCATGTTTTCCTTCCAACCTCAGTACACATCAAGAAAAGCTGAGGGTTTTTTTTATTCTTCTGTAGCAGGATGAAAGAAAGATTTAATGCTTTGAGTAGTTCATACACCAAACAGTATGAGAAGTTTTAATCTCCCTTGAAGACTATGCAAAGGTACAGAAGCAGCCACACATAACATAGCAAAAATGGAAGTAGAAGAAACTGGATTAATGGGGAAGTCTGGGGGGAGGGGAGGGCATTCTGCTACGAAGCTCTTGTTCTTTTGAGTAAACAGGTGGTAAAAATTAGAGACTGAAAAACAAAAAACCCTGTATATTCAGTTACCCCATAAATTAATTTCCCAATATTATTTACTAGCTTCCCTATAAGGCCAGAGAAATCAATGAACAAATTACTCAAAAAATGACGAGTTGTCAGAAGCTTGATAAATTTAACTCCACTTAAAACACACAGTGCACATTTCAACTGATTTAACTAAAACAGTGCAACCATCTGTAAGGAAAGACGTCTGTAAAATGTTTTTCAAGTAATCTTGAGCCTGTTCCTAAAATGCACTTAACTAGGGAGACACAGCAGAGTATCTCTCATCATACACACAGTAAAAATAACCTTTCATGCCTCTTTGTAAAATAACCTTAATGTTAAGGTAGAAAGACAAATAAACCAAGATGCTGTGCTACAGCTCAAGCTATACCGTGGAGAAAAAAAAATAAGCAAGAGCCCTTCCCCACAAGCCCTTGGAGTCAATGATGTGGACCACCTCATGTACACGTTCTATCTTCAAATGGCCAATCTCACTGCATCCTCTTCCAAGCCAAAATACTTGAACTAATCTCCAGCAGCATATGAAGCAACACATAAGAGAAAAAAAAAAAAAAAAAACAAAAAAAAAACAAAATCAAACCAAATCACCCAAAGCAGTGTATGAGAACTTTACCAAGCCTGTCTTGGGAGAACAGATCAAGCCTTTACTGAAAGGCACTAATCGTGGTGTACCCAGAAACTAACAATGAAAACAAGCCAGGATAAGTGTTAATGACAAAGAAGCTATCATAAAAGAAACTCTTGACAGTCCCTGCCTTCTATCCAAAAACAATCACACAAGGAAGAAAGCAATCATATGAAATGCTCTAAAACTGTCTCTGCATGTAAGCTTTCAAAGGTCTGAGGAGACAGTGGAAGAGAAGCATCTCAAGCACTTGCCCCTGCAAATGAGACCCACCACCCCATCAGCTACTGTATTTTCCTCCTCAGTGAGGCAACTCCCCTGCGTAATTGCAAAAACTATTATTCAGCAGCACACACAGTACATATCTCATAACTACATAGTTATACTATAGTACATACTACCTCATCAATCACCTTTTATAGCCAGAACACCGTAACTCACCTATTTCTCCACTCGTTCACAACTCAGGACTCAGGCACTTGTGATCTTCCTGCCAGCTTTCAGGTTTGGCTGTCCTACCTACATGCTCTGCAGCTGCTCCCAAAGGCACTTCAGCAACAAGGAACTGATCTCACAGAGAAACTTTCCTGCTAGTTTTGAACAGGGACGTATTTGAACACGGGGAGTCTCACAAGTCTCAACAGACGAGTCATACATCCAACAAGCATGGAGAGGTCTCCTACAGCCAAAATGACCCTTAGGGAGATCATGGATTTACCCACCTTTAATACTATAGGCTTAAGTTTAAGAAATAACTTAAATTGACTCGCAGAGAGACAGATATGCTAAAGAAGCAAGTACTGCATCAAGAAAGATGAAAAGAAAGATGAAAAGAAAGATTCATAGATTTATTTCACGTGAGAAGAATAAAAACAAGGATACGGTGGTGCTGTCTTACATGTGGATGGAAAGTTATTTTAGTTTCAGTTCTATGAGCTAATCAGATAAGAATATATTCTATTCAAAAATGGATGGGTAGGAAGCCTCACTCCATACACATTTCCTTTTCCTTTAAGCCGACTCTGAATGTACCTTTTAAAGTCTAGTACCATGGCATTCACCACAAAGTATATATACTTTTTAATGAATAATCTTTTTAGACAGTCCAGCTACAACGGAATTGCCAGATTAAAACAAGTAGTTTCACCCCATCACAAAGTCTGTCCTTTCTAAATCGTTTTGCAACCACATAGTATGGAAGAACAGACTGGCATAAAGTGGGTAATGAGAGGGACAAAACCTAAAGAAACCTGGACAGAAAATTTCAATTGGGTAGCAGGAGCACAACAGCTGAGCTGTTCATCTCGCTGGAAATTTTAATTTGCGAGAGGACAGCAAGCCTGACCTCACAGTTTGCCATACCTAAAATAGAAGCACCACCCCCACTGACAGAAAATAATCCAAAGACTTTTTTTTTTTTTTAAAAAAAAAAAAAAAGCAGAGAACATAAAACTTCCAGGGTTTGTTTCTTCCCTAAACTATAAGTAATGGATTCGCGTAGCTTCAGGCTGAGTCTACCCACACAGCCATTGTTCCTTCCCCTAGGCCTTGGGCATTTCCAAGGGGCAGTCAGTCTCTCCCTTTCAGCGCCCCCAGTAAAAGCAATCCTTTATCCGAACCTGCATGACCAGCAGCCATGGCAACACGCTGGGATTACCAGACCCAAGCATCTCAGCAGAAGCCACGAGTCTCCCCTCAAATTCCACTTACGGACCGCTGCCGGCTACCGCCGCTAGTTCTGCCTGGAGGCTCCCCCTGCGCGGGGCTGCGCGTCCCGCATGTGTCCGCTTTCCCCTGGCCCTGCCCAGCTCTAGAGCCCCCACCCGGCGCCCCACCACTGGCTCCCGCCCCGTAACCACCCTCCGGGCCCGCCACCGCCCCGCCACCCGACTCATCGCTCGCGGGGGACCCCAAGGCCGCCGCGGGGCGGCTCTCGGGGCCGGCAGCATGCGGCCCGGCTGCTGGCCGCAGGGCTGGGACCGGCTCCGCCGACCACCCACCAGCGGGGCTGCTCCAGGAGGCCGGAGAAAGGGGAACGGCTTCCCCCCCAGCCAAGCTCCTTCCCGGAGGAGCCGCCGGGGGAACGGGGACTGCCCTTTCCCTCATATCCCCCAGCCCCGAGCCGCCTACCTGGCTAGGTGATGGCCGGCAGCCCGCCGGACACCCCCTCGGCGCTGGCGCTTCCTCCTGTGCTGCCCAGCGGCTGCTGGAGCGAGGCCCCGGGGCCCGCGGCTGTCCCCGCCGCCCGCTGGGGAGCGCGCCCCCCACGGGGGCCCTTCTCCGGCCGGGGGCGAGAGGCGGCCCCGCATGCGGCCCCTCAGCCCAGCCGGTCCCAGCACCGGGGGCGCGTATGGGGAATCAAGCGCATTCAAGTTCCTCCGGCGAGCCGGGCGGCGGCAGAGCTTCAGCTTCAGTCAGGGTCATCCCCAGCTGTAACCGGGTCCCTGCGACGCCGCGATGTTAATTTTTACCAGGAAGTTCCCAGGAACCTCTGGGAAAGGTTTGAGACATCTCATCTCACCAGCTCTCAAGCCGATTAAAACTGTATTCCCTTCAAAGAAAGCTTGTAGAGGCAGGCTTCATCTCTTTGGAAATTCAATTAATTCCTTGAATACTTTCACCCAGGAACACACTGATGTATTCGAATAGCCAGCTCTACCTTTGAATATGTAGTCATTTACATTAAATAACAATGTTGTTGGCAGCTGCTCCCATCAGTACTTACCTGAAGGAGGTTTTAAAATTGGAAGCACACGTAGGCTTTACACGAGGTTAGCTGGAAGCCTTCCCAGCTTGAAATAATGCAAGAGCGTGGTGGGAAGGAAGATGGCTCACGGCAAGAATGCCGGCAAACCCGAGAATAAGGGCTTTCGTCGTGCCCGGTCCTACGGGTTCGGGCACCATCCAAGAAATCCTATCCTCCCAGCCAATGCTCTTTACAGAGCTCGCTACACTTTATGAAATAGAGGAGAGGTGTTCACTTACCAGTTGTCAACACACCAGATGTTTTAAGTCATCTGAGCAAAGGGGACAGAGCTTGCCGCTTATCAGGGCCGCTCAGGCTGCTATCGGCCTTATTCCCGCCCGGCGGTGTTTACCGTAAGGATAAAAAAAGAGAACTGGTTCCAGCTGAGACCCGTCTGCAAAAGAAAACGTAAAAGGAAGCACGTTGTGTGTTTAGAAAGACGTAATACTCAGCTCGAGTCTGCTGAAATTCCTCCTCGAAATATAAAACCAAAACCTTCCAGGGAGAGGAGAGACTCACGTGAAGAAAACTAAAGCGTTGCTCCGTCTCCCCTCAATAATGACCGTATCTTCTGTCTGACTTCAGCTGCAGCCACTGTTTCTCTTTCCTCCTCCCCTGGGCAGGAGCCGTCCCCTCCGCGCCCGCCCCGCCAGCCCGATGGAGGCGGGAGACCCACAAAGCGAGGGGCAGAGCCTCCCTCAACCCCCTCTGAGCCTTTCCCACCTTGCCAGCCCCTCCCTAGCCTCCAGGAATTAACAAACTCATTGTCACCTAGGGGAGAAAAGGGGAGGGGGAAACCAAGAAAGCTGAAACCCACAGCGGTTATTTCAGATGGAGGATTCTCCTTCCCCGAGTACCTCGCCCCCTTCTAGCCAAGCCCCAGCGAATGCCATTAGGGGATCAACTACTCCCCTGAAGAGCTCGAAAAACGGACCACCACCCTGTATGACCAGCACAGGAGAGAGTCATGGGGCTCCTGGAAAACTCTTCACACTACGACAGCCAGCCACGCGGGCCTGGGTATTACTGTTTGAAAATGAAGGTTATAAGTAATTGTGTCAGTGATAAAGGGGCTGGGAAAAAAGTATCATTTTATCCAGAATCCTGTGCTGTGTCAATGTGGTACTTTGCTAGAAGAAGTCTGAGGGGTTATTAATAATCTAATTGTTCTCTCCTGTTTCAAACGTAATCCTGACCACTTTTAACAATTTTCTATATTTTTATGGTATGGCTTTAGCATTGTATCAGAACAAGATGCTTCCGTTATTGGAAGAGCAGCTCTTGGGATTTTGGTGATTGTCACTGGGAATGACCAGAGGTGGAGGCTCTTCTCAGCAGCAGTTTTATACAGCCTACAGGTAACAAAAATAACAGATTAAACGCAGGGAAATTTTAGCTATTCTTAAGGGACTATCCCACTCTGTACCCTGCTGAGATGGCTTTCAGTGTGTTGTGGGCTGGGAACCAAAGTTTGGTTCTCTGTAATTTTTCCTTTGAGCAGAAAATACCTTCATACATTTGCCCACTTCTCCCAAGAGATTCCTCAGGTCTTCACCCTTCACACCCTGGTCTTTACAAAACCTAGCTACTTCAAAGTATATAGCTAAACTACCTGCCTTCTAAAATAAGTTTAACTCTGCTACATGTTTTTCCTATTAGCCCTCATCTCTTCTGTCCTTACCCTTCAACTCACCTAAGTATTACAGGCACAAAATCAACTAAAAAGAGAATCATTAAGGTTGCACAATGAAGGAGTCAGAGTTAGGAAATACCAGAAGATGGGTTATGTGACCTCACATCCACCCCCTTGCTTATACTCAGTCTTAAATTATGTAGTCCAGTATTATTTTGTGCTGGCCTTGCTTTATTTTGCATGGCCTCACCTTTGTTTAGGATACAGGATGAACTTACTCTCAGGATGTGCCAGATTTTTGCAGAACAAGATGCTGAGACTATTCACCACAGAGAAGTGTAGGAAACCTTGAGGAAATGGATGCTATTCCTGCCTCTGTTCCAGACAGGATGCATGTGCTGCAGCTGCATCTTTTGTGCATGAGTTCATGGGCATGAGCTCATTTCACACTAGCTAACCTGGGTATTAATAACAGTCTAACATGAATCTTTGGACAGGCTGAAAAACATAGGGGAGAAGAATATGGAACGTGCTGTTAGCAGGGCTGAGCCACTGGCTCAGAGAGACCAACCCAAGTCACCGATACATCTCTGAAGCTAGTTAGACATATTCAGTGTTCCTATGGGGATACTATGTGATGACTTAGAAGTCATTTGATTTTACAGCTGGCTGCAAGTCTTGCACAAGGTGTTTAGTCTAGGAAGATCTAAGCATTCACATTTGCAGCCAAATTCCATAGGTGATGTAGTGCTGTGAACAGAGGACCTGTTGCTCACAGTTTTATTCCCTTGCTTAAAGGCTGCATGTGTAAGAAATTCAAGGGATTGTATCGAAGACATTGGAATACATCTCTATTTGCAATAAACTGCAAAATCCCAAATTCCAGCTACATTGGTCAAGCAATATAATAGTCTAATTTGTAATAATGTAATTTCACTTCGGTATCTCTGGCAACTGTAACTGTCCAAGATCATCAACAGAATGAAAGCTGGTGTTTGTTGTCATCTAAATATGTTGAACTAAATCCAAGGATTCAATGGCAATTTGAACAATTAATATAGTGCAAAAAAAAAGTTTAGCTCCTTGATATTTTCAGAATGATCTGCACAAGCAGGAAGTTAGTAACTCCTCTGCAACAGTGATGAATTTACTTGATGAAAAGTATAAGGAATTACTTCTCTGGGACATAGTCTATTGCACACAAATGGTATCAGCAATGATTTGACAACAGTGAGGAGCTTTCAAAATGCTTTGGAAGAGGATGACTAGCAGGAAGGCAAATGAATGCTCCTGCAAGCAAAAACAATGCAACCAAAAAGTCAACAGATTGTTTTTGCTATTTCAGTACAAAATCAACTCTCCCAAGACACAAACCTCTCCCAAACCAAACCTAAAACCCACAGAAACCTTTAAATGCAAAATAAATAAATCTATTTTTACCTCCTGAAGAAACTATGTACCTCCTGAGCTAAACTAAAAAACAAAGAAAAATGCTACAGTCACGCTGTACCTTGCATGAAAAACTGGAGAAAACAAAGAGAAAAAATACAGGAAATGGAAGGAAAAACTGTTGAACATGGGAAAAGCAAAACTGAAGAGAATATGGAATAAACAGAATGGAAAGTTGCTGCATCATAAAAGTGATTTCCTCTCCAGCAAACCAATAAGCAAGATGACTAATCAGGCTCTGTGTACACAATGCACTATTCAGTCTATCATAGATTACACCTCTGGTCCTAGAATTAAAATGCAACTGAACTGTCCCCCTTTATTAATTACTTTAGGAGATTAATGCATTTATAGAAATACAGACTGTCACAACGTCATTTTCCTCTTTACTACCTAGCATCACAGTCTGATCCTAATCTTCTTTATGTCACGCCATGAGAACACTGCCAAGTCCCGTACATGCACAGATCTCTGCTACTGAGATCCAAAACCTGTCTCAGCACAACTCTGTTTCACAAAGTTTCTCTCAGGCCCTGTGCCCTGTATATTAGAGGACTGCTCTCCACTGCACTGACCACTCAAGCTGAAGTAAGCACCATGCCTCACGTAGCTTGTTTAGTCACCCATTTGTTATTGCATGATACCTCTTCCAGAGACTCTTTGCCAGGAGACAACTTGCTAAAGCATGTCTCAGGAGCTTTAAGAAGTCTGGTTAGTTGCTGTAGGGCATCTCATAGGAACCCACAGCACTTTCATAGCATGCAACCCACACCTAGTTCAAGGTCACTCTTTCAAGACCTGGTCGAAGAACTACAGTAGGCTGTGACTGCTCTCATGGTCCCCAGGGACTTTTTTTTTCCGGGAAGTGCACTGCTTTCTCCTGCCCCAGGCTGTGCAGTGCTGCTGTATTCTGCCTCTGAGAGGACACAAGCAAACAAAGCATAGGACACAAGAAATGTCACAGAGGTAACCTGGGTAGGCTGAGACAACCTCCTTGCCAGCCAATCCAATGCAATCTGAAGTGGTAAGCACATTAGGAAGTGCTATTTGCCAACCAGAGTGAAGACCTCAGGGCATGTAGCTATACATAAGAGCACCTGCAAACTCATAAAGAAATATGTTATCCAATAGGCACTAAAAATCCCTATGCTTCACTAGGCATGTGCAGACGAAGAAATAGGTCAAAACACACCCACCTGAAGAGCATTGCAAGCAAAACAGCAGGAAGGAGAAGGGGAAACAGTTTCCAAAATTATGGAAAATTAGTCCTCAGCTAGTGGTTTTCATCAGATCAAAAGCAATATTAAACTGAAGATTCCTCCCCTCCACTTGTTACCTTGTTTCCAGCTGTCAAGTTTCCCACTTGTCCCCCCCATCCTTAAAATGGATGACAGTATACTGGTATAACTGCACCTCTACATGCATCCAAAGGTAACTCAAAGTGAATCTTCACAGCACTGAAAGCAGCCCTTCCCACACGAAAAGGGGACAAGAGTTGGTGCTTCCTCCCCTGTTAGGAAACAAACCTCTCAAGACCCAGGTCATCCACCCATCTGACAGGGACACGGCAGTACCCTCCCTGTAGCTCACAGGCACACAGTGGACTGCTGTTCACAGAGGATGCTGGCTGTGGCATCCGGCATGAGGGAAGAATTGGAGGCGAGGTGAGGTGGTGCACAGGAGGGAGTAACCAGCTGGGGGAAACAGAGGGAGGGGGCAGTCTGCTTCTAGGTCACAGCCCAGGTGCTAAATGCAGATGGGCTCTTGAGCTCAGAGAACAAGAAGTCCTTGAACCTGGGGCTCCGGGTCCCTACCCACTTAGCCTTGTGTACTCAGATGACTGACATAAGCCTCTTTCGGAAGATGAAATACCTGTTCCTTTTATGATTCCTACAGTACTACACCAGGACTCATTGCTCCTTGTCTCCTTTCCAAGGACAGGCCAGCATGTGAAATACCTTTGCAGTTTTAAGCACAGCTTTATGCCCAGTTTCTTTCTGTGCATTTTTTTGAAAGATCTCTCTGTTATTCGCATAGACTCCCCATTGCACAGCCTATCATTCCAGCCTCCAGATTCCCAACTTTCTGTGTCCTGCTGGCTTCACCTCTACAGCTAGAGTCGTTATTACAAGCACTAAGGCAGCTACTGCA